CCCCCCCCCCCCTCTCTCATATTCATTATGTCTGTGTCCATCTACTCTCTCCCTTCTCTTCCCCAAATCAGCCATTTAACAACCTTTCAGAAAACTCGACCAGGCATCCCTCTCTTCCACTCAAGGCTGAAAGTGTAATCCCAACTTGTAAAGCTGAATTGGACTCCTGCTCTGAAGGACCCCTAAAGCTTGGGGGTATAATGAGAGATAAATACGAGGCTGAGGAGGAGGATGATGGGAAGCAAGTGTGAACCAGATGGAGGGAGAAGAAGAAGAGGATATCAGGGTAGATTTGGGGTTGGAATGAGAGAGAGATAAATAGATTCATCAACTGTTATTGGCTTGCTGTCTGTGATGATGGAGGGCTTGTCAGTTTAAGACTTAATTCCAGACAAATTTCAGAAATATGTGCTGTCGTATGCACTGTTATTTAGACCCCATAAGAATAATGATGAAGTTTTACTGTGACATGCATCATTTGAAAGACCCATGAGGTGTGCAAGTGTAACATAATAAATGATTCTATGAAGTGTTTTGCTCAAAGCAAGTTGCAGTACAAAAGTGATAGATTACTGTGAGACTGACACATTTATAATGGGGTGCACAGAGGCTTACCCATGCTCACCTAAATTCCTAAAGGTAGCCTACTTGAAATTCATCAAAGGAAATGCATGTAATGCCCTTTTCAGTCACTGCCATTTCGTACAATAGAAATGGTCCAGTGATTGACTTACAAATGAAATCTGATACTATTTCTACTGAATTATATAAATACAGCAGACTAGTCCTCTATCTTGCCTTTTCTTTGCAGCCATTACTCTCCTTTCACAGTAAAAAAAACACTTACTCTTTCTGAGCCTTAACGGCCCATATAATGACTCAGCAGTTTTTTTGTTTGCGATGTTGCAATTTCAACATGTCACACACAGCTGGTTGTTTCGTTATGTAGATTTCCCTTTAATCTGTTTTTGTCTGCATAATGCATAATAATTCTTGCATCTCAGGGACAGGAGACTGGAGATGGGTTGCTGCAACTGTATCAAACACATAATTAATTTGATTTCAAATTTTCCCTCGCTGGATGAACAACTTCGGCTGTAATTGCAGTAAAACATGATTCCTCTTACACTTGGTTCACACTGCCAACCTGAGCAGCACTTGACGGCTGCTTCTGGTTCACGCGCGTACTATTTACACTGACAGCGTGTCAGCTGTGTGGCTGCTGCAGAACTGCTGCTGTCAGTCCTATCTGTCTATACTGGGTTTGCCTTTGCCCTAAATGTAGAACAATAAAAGCCTTGTTAACATGTGAATGGAATCTGTCCACAGAAATGCCAGAGAGCTTTTATTCTATAGCATTTTTTACATGTCTGTGACATATTCTACAGATACAGACATTGAAACTGCAGTGAAAGATGTATATGTTGCTGGTATATTGTTAATATGACTATGAACAGATCCTTTTCACTGCCACTATTTTTGCTGAGAACCGCGTGCGGGACAAATAGGCGAGAGTGGAGCTGCCGCAGCTGAGCACCATCGCACACCGCTCAGGCGGCTTATGTGAACAAGCAGTAAATGACAGTCTCATGTATCCCTGATTTACATGTGTAATTGCTTGGTGTCAGGCAGCAGATAAGCAGGTTAGTATTGATCTACAGTTGCCTTGTGGAAGGGCAGAAATAAGTCTTGGAGAACGAGACATGCCGCATCAATTTTGTGTAGCTTTTAGCACCTGCTGAACAGTCGGCTGCTTCAGGATACAACATTTTAAAACACTGTACATGCTCCTTCCTTCCATCAGTATCTTCAAAATGGCAGGGTGGTTCTTGAATGAATTTGAACTAATTCTGAGATACAGTGTTGTGATTGTTGATCTATCAGTTGTCAAAGAGTGTCTTACCCAGATTAGTTTTTATATTCATTTTCCATGTGGTGTCATACAACTGCACTATATGTCTCTGGAGCTTCTGCTGCCCCTTGCGTAACAGGTGAGTCCTCAGATTTAAAAGCAATTTTGTCATCTACAGTGTAGAACCAGGTACAGAGTCGCACAAGCTTTGGTGTCATCGTTACAGCTATGCTTGCTCCTCCATTTTTATTTATTAATTTTCCTGATGGGTCAACAAGGGCATTCAATAGGTCAAGCTGACAGTGAGCGTCCTCAGCTGGAACACAAGGAATAATAACATAGAGCGGTCTGCTGTGCTTTTAATAATAATAATAAAAACAATAATAATAATAATAATAATAATAATTCAAATATATCATTTTTCCCACGTTAGAACAAAAGTTTGAATTTTAAATAAAAAGTTACCTACAAAAACTTCTCATCCTTAAACAGACATAACAAAAAGAACAGATTATGATATATAATATATTTATTAAAAAAAATAAAAATAAAACATTCTGCAAGAATCAGTATTCTTTTCAATTTGGCATCCCTACAGTTTCAGAGTGCAATTCACTTATACACCACTGTCGTAAATATGGGCAGCTGTACACGCTGTAACGATTACATAACTTACGATGACTAGCGAGTAGACAACTTTGCTAACACAAACATAGCTTTAAGCTTGCTAATATTACTTACTTAATCCAACAGCAAGCAGACCAGTGTCTGTCTTGCAGCGTTTTATTTCACATAGCTCTCCTTAGCGACTGTAAGCCAGTCTGAGATCTCTTGTTTGGTCACTGTCTCTTTTTCTATTCTTAGCTTCCTCCATCAACATCCTCTTCAGTCTCGTTGCCTCTGCCATGTCCGCAGAGGGCGCTGAGCTCAGAAAATCTCATCCTCCCAGCAGTCAAAAGTTCCTGCAGTGTAAACAGAATCAGAATCAGAATCAGAAATACTTCCCCCGGGGGGACGACAGCATGCACTCTTGGCGCACGCATACTGACACTTTCCCAGTACTTTGAGCTCCCAGCCCCGGCAGCACAGCTAACTGAGCTAACTAGCGGTTCCCATACTTTAGCAACAAGTAAAGCTCTGTCCATCAGGAAACTCATAAATCACAGAGAGTTGAGGAGAGCAGCTAGAGGACATCAGAGGGAAACCCAGAAAACATTTCCTACATAAAACATGATGCAGTTTCACTAAAATCAGTGGCAGGGTTGGTGGTGTGTGATGTTGTGCCAGACGTTCGGGGCGCAGAGAGGAAATTACAGAGGCACCACTGACCTTACTAGTGTACCAGCAACATCATTTTAATTTTGAAAGGTTAAGATAAGGTAAACAGTTGCTTAATGTTTCTTTAAGTAATGAGTGAAGTGGTTGCTGGGAGACAAAGAGTTTATAGCATTCGGGCAGTTTACAGCGAGTACAAAATATCTGTTTAAGACCATGGACTATGACCACCTGCCACCAGGTCAGATTTGGTCAGATACCCCTAGAAATCAGACAAAACAAGGCGGTGGAAACTCTACCCATTTTTGTCCACAGGGGCCACCAGAATCAGCATAAAACAAAAGTTCCTTGTAGCTGCTTTAACATTTACCTTTAAAATGAACAACATGCAGCGAGTACAACAGCAGCAGCTCTTGTGATACCCATATTAATATCCTTGCTGCTGTACTCCCAGAGCTCAGCGCGGCACATGAGAGGGTGGATCATTTATATCAGATCTGTCAGGAGCTCACTCTGGCACACTATGATTCTCAGCATGATCCAATGCTGTTACTCTGAGTGTGCTACAGCAGACACACAGCGTCACAAGCATTTGCACGTAATTGGCATTATTACATGCTGTAGTGATTTTTATATGATGTTTACTGTTTGTTTACTATCTGAACTTGCCTCAGCCCTGACAGCTCTGTAATGGTGTGGAATATGTTCGCATGCTCTGCTTTTTGGAAATGTCAGTAGGGGGAGTTGAGAGAATAAAGCTGAGGGATCCAACTGTGCTCACCTAACACACTAGGTGTGAATATGGGAATCTATTATCATTGAGAGAGTGAGGGATTTTACTTTCAAAGACACACACACAAACTCTCTCTCTCTGTCTCATGTATGCACACACAAGTTTACAGTACTTAGGCATTGGCTGCTGGGGCTGAATAACACCCACGAGAGCGCAGATGGGTTACAATGAAGGGGACCAGTAGTGGACAGAACAGACTGCATAAATCGATGAATCCCTTGCAGGCAGAATCGGCTGCCTCTCTGCTTTCTCCACTTGTAATACCAAAGCCTGTCTGGCTGTTTAAACTACTCAGACTCACCATTCATCATACCTCACAGCCATTAGGGTGGACTGAGAGGATTTCTTTCAGAATAAGATTACCTCTCCTCTTCTGTTTCCATCCTTTTATTTCCTCATTGTGAGTTATTTACTGTAGCTGTCCTAGTTTTTGCTGTCTGTTCAGAACAAAGAAGACTCAACGCTGTGTGATGTAAATGTTAATCTTCTCTGTAATTTCATCACAGCTGGCTATATTGGTTTCTTTGTGCCTTTTTACACTCTTAGTTTCATTTTTTCACTCTGTGTTCAGTCCTCAGACTGTGATTAACAAATGGAAGAATATCCACTGAAATAACAGTAACATATGAGCCACATTTACATGTGACTCTCCTAAACTCTGCTTCACTAAACATATTGTTTGTCATTTCCATGAGGAGAAATCAGCATGTTGTGATCAGAGGGTGGGAGTCCTACAGCTTGACCCTTGGCACCTTTCCAAAACCTGACTTAGCTTTACTTTAGCCAGGAATACATTTTCAAGCTGTGAGCTGGCAACTTGCCCTCTCAATGTGATGCCAGTACATTATCACCTGCAGCACATGCTCTCAATAGTGTGCCCTTGAGGGAAGCACTTGCTAGACCCCATAGCTGTCACACTTTGGTTGACCCTGTGCTTTGACTAGCCCGAGTGTTAAGATCCAGTTGGTATCACAGAGTACTCGCCAGGGAGTCCGCCAGCACACTCCACTGTGTTTTTACAAGCATAAATTAAAAAAGAAAGAAAAGATAATTTACTTAAAAATAACATAATGCATATGCAACAATTGATTAAAAAAAATATTTTTTTAACTATCTAAGAGGAACAATTAGTACAAAACGACTACAAAAAATGACAAGTCAATATGACTTTAAGGTTCACTCGTGGTGACAAAACCACAAAGAATTAAGACCTGACTCAACTTGTTGTGTCTTTCAGCTCATTGTTTTCTTTTTTCGGCCTGCAGCTTTACTGTTTTCCAGCAGCAGCAAAAAAGCGTTTTTCAGTGAAAATGCTCTAATAAACCAACTGTATACACCTGCCAAGCACCAAACAACACAGCAACAAAATTGGCAACTAGCTAGGCTGGTGAACATAGTGGACCTAAATAGCCAGATATTTCCCTGAGGACTTGGTGGAGACCAAAAACAGAGCTAAAAAGAGAGTAAATATTAGATTTGCTCACCTTTCAACAGGCCTTAAATCTAATTTAACAATATATTATTTAGAAGTTGTGGACAAAATAATAGGAAAACACAATCCAATACAAGCACATGAAATAGTGCAGAACTGATTAAGCTTAGCATGTTCAGTTTCTGTTTAAGCTGAGGTATTCTGATGCATCATTATTTAGAGATGAAATAAATTAGTTATTTCATTTTACATGTTTTATAGATTTGATCAGGTTTGCAGCACATGATATGTGATACGCGTTAATATGACCAAAATTAATTGCACATTCAGTCATGATGACATCCTGTCTATGTCTGCACTGATAGCATTAATGGCTGTGTAAGTATTGTATTGATTAGGTTAACATACTGTCATGTTTAATAAGACTCCTAAGGTTATGGTTAACCCTATGGTTTAAAGACACAATTTGGCATATCCTGCTTCACTCCTACCATGCACACTTTCCTTGTTATGAGCACAGTACAGGCAGTTTGTCATACATACATACCTTTCAACTCTGTGCTCTACCTATTGGCCCACCAAACTAAACAAAAAGTATATTATAGTATAAAAGTATATTTACCATAACATTTCTTATAAAACTCATTCCCTCAAATGGAATACAGATTGTATATCTGAGCAGTTCAGCCTTACTAAACACGCCATCCTTGTTGGCAGAAATCGATATCAAAGCCAGATACAGAGAGAGTGTGGTGAGCATTGGAGCTTGGTAATAGCCTGGTTCTGTGCGGCTGCAGATCTGGGGCTTCCACGGCTAATTCAATCGGTTGACTCCAGTGCTAATGCCCCTGTCTTTTTCAGGCATCCTCGGTAGGATAAAATGGGAACTGGAGATTCATTAGGGAGAGCTCAGAGTCATGGTTAGCCAAACAACTTGACATTACACTGTGGCAGGAAGTGCAGGGATATTCACAGTGATGTATACAAAACATTATAATGCAAAACAGCTATCACAGGGAACATTTTCCCCATCATTAAACTTTCATCTTGGTGATACAGGTTTATGATAAAGAGAAATACCTCACTGCACTGAAACCTAAGCAGATAATCTTAAAGATAAAGTTATTCTCTTCTATGCAATCTACTGAATCTGACATACAGTAAATAGGCATTGCCTCTGTATATGATTTCACTAGATGCTGCTTGCTGCAACTACAGTATACCTCAGACTGCTGATGATTACGTTAAAATGCCCCATGTGATAGCATAGGGAGTAGTGTATATGAGAAACCAACAAGAATACAGCCAAAATGAGTCACTTTTCCCTGGCTAGGTGTAATTGAATCTGCATTGCTGACAATTCTGCACATAAACCTTCAATTATTCTCAGCCTCTGCAAGAGCCAACCTGTACAAGATCTAATGATGCTTGATGAAATCTATGTGGTCTAGAAATCTTGATAACTCTCATTAAGTTAACGATCCAGAGAAATAGGAAAAAGGGTGCTGTTAGCGAATTTGTCACACAGTAGTGAGAAAAAAGGAATAAAATCTCATTTCAGCGGCACCCAAGCTCATAATAATTCTGCTACTAATGCAAACAGATAATTGCTTTGTGAAAGACCATGGACATTACATTAATTTATTTTGCATGTTTCCATTAACAGGTCTCTATGGCTTAGCCTAATGATGCTTTTTGGGGCTTTTTGTTTTCCACAGAGTAGTGCTTGTGGAAAACATCCCAGAGGACATCTCCTTCTTAGACAATGGTACATCCCATGTTCCTCTCTCAGTGGGGCTGTACAACTTACTGGACCGAGCTATCCGGGTCGTAGAGATAGTTTCCCCGCTGTGGCTCCTCAACTCCTCCGATTATGAATCGAGCTTCCAGCCTGCTGCCAGACAGGTAAAACTGGAGCAAGCCAACAGAGACTTCACTCTACAAAAGTTGTGCCATTTATTTGAATGTTATGCCTTTTCTGTCCTCTGCATGTCTTTGTCTGAACTGGTCTCTTTGCCTCCTCTACATAATAATCAGTGGTGGAAGTACTCAGATCCATTACTTATGCAAAAATACAGATATAAAATTGTAAAAACTCTCCTATGCATATGCAGGTCCTGAATATAAATCTTAAATGTCCCCCTCTACTAAAAAATATGTTGGTTTTTTTCTTGTCCATATGGATGTTTGAGCTTCACATTCATCTGCTGAAAGTGGAAAGTGTCTCTGTGCTCATTGAAGGGGGCTGGGCCTGCAACTATGATTTGTGTATGCAACTTATACAAGTGTGATGTAGAAACTTGAAACCAGTGCATATACACTGAGAATGGAGGCATATTGTGTCCATCAGGAAAACATTTTAATGAGGTAGAAAGAGTAGATTTTTGTGGATCTGTGGTTATTCCAGTCAGTATTAAGAGCAAAAATGGTTAGACATAGCTTCCTGTGATATAGTTTTGATAAAAGTTTAATCTAAATCGAGTCAGAAGTACAATATCTTCGTCTGAAATTTAGTGGAGTAGTAAAGTAAATTACAGGTACCTGAGAATTGTAAATAGACTTAATTACTTTATAATAAGAATACAATTCATTTAAAGTATTTTGATGTGATGTGAATTATTTGCATAAGCTGTCCAAAATCATGGCTATATGATTTTTTCCACTTTGCCAAGTCATTAAGCAGACTACACACAGCTACCATATCTTATATTTATCAGATCTTTAAAGAACATTAAAGAAGAGATTTTCTGCTTCAGACAAATCAGACAATAAAGTCAAAGTAGACAAAATAACAGTATGATATAAGTGAGCAGCCACAAATGATCACCAGTAGAGAATAAAAAACTGTCCTTCTAGAATTGTACTTGCTGGTAAAATACTGGTATGTACTGTTTTCAGGCTGCTTGAAGTG